AAGCGTGGATTTGTTGTTGGAAATAGGTAAGACAAAGAACATCCCTTTCTGTAGATGACTGTTCTCTTCAGGATCGCCCAAAATTACTGGTGCAGGCACAGTTGGCTTTTTTATGCAAGTAACTGAAACACAAGCAAACCCTCTTTCAATTTTATGGCCGTGAAGCGTCAGACGATTTTCTTTTACAATACCAACAGAGAGAATCTCGCCATCAACAACATAAACCACTCCATTACCCTCCTTTGCTGCTACTTGCCCTTGCCCAGCGTCACCTACCAGACTCCCACTGCTGTTTGTCGCTGTGTTCACAACAGTCACTTGGGTACAACCAGCTCCACTTGATTGACATGCATTGGAACCTGAGGCACCGCCCACACCAGCAACCTGACCATGACGCGCACCACCTGCCTGACTCCCAATGCCAATTGCTGCACCTCCCACTCCAGCCACCTGCCCACACCTAGCACCAAAATTCACACCAGCCATCTGCCCATGACCCACACCACCTGCCTGACTCTCCTTACCAATTACTGCACCTTCCACTCTAGCCATTTGCCCATGCCTATGCTCTGCGCTATATGCCTGACTCTCATTGCCAATTGTTGCACCTCCCACACCAGCCATTTGTCCACACCCAGCACCAACACCCACACTGGCCAACTTCCCATGCCCCACACCACCTGCCTGACACCCATCTAGTCCCCCAGTCTGATCTGCTGAATTCTCTGTGGTACCATCCCCACCTTCTGGTGCGATACCAGTACAAATTACCGACATTGTATCATTTCCAAAACTGACAGTAACTGATGGATCGTCAGGGTCATCATCCATGGTATTATCACTGCCATGAACGTCTACACAGAAAAATAACGTTTAAAGTATAAGTAATTTTACAAAAAAATTCTAAACTAAATTGAATTAGTGCATTTTGTCCATCTTAACGTGATAATTTGTTACCTTTTCTGTGTTGGTCAGCATTGTAAGGGACAATACTATAAAAAATTGCAAGACACTCCTATACCTCCTTTAGAATATCAGTTGAATAGGACATGACATGTGAGACTTGCAACCCCAGATCTCAAGGACTTTTCTTATTACTGGGATCTGTCATTATTATCAATATCTTTATTTTTATCATTATTGCTATTTTTAATTACCTTTGACAAATTGTTTGAAGAGCTTTGTGGTTACTCGACCATATTTTGATGCATTGCTTTCATCTGACCCCACAAATTTTAGCCCAGCACCAGATGTGCCATAAGTATGTACAGATGTACCAGTACCATATTTATTGAAGTACAAAACAACAACATCCCAACCATGATGTTGATATAAAACATTTGCCTGAGAAACAAACAACATGAAATATTCTCATTAGCATTACTGAATATGTATCACATTGCAGCAAATAAAATAAGGTCATAGAGTAGAATAGAGAGTTACAAGCCATGAATTTACACTTGAGGTGCTTTTTAATGCTCTATCGTTTTCATTTTCATTATCACCATTAAGGTATTGTTTAATATTTTTGTTGTTGTTGTTGTTATTGTTGCTGTTGTTATTATTATTATCATTATTATTATCCTAATTATTATTATTATCATAATAATAATTATTATTATTATCATTATTATTA